ACGATGCCCTAACGTTGCAACACTACCTATCAACAAGACTAAATCTCAACGGAAACCGGTTAATGAACCTCGCCGATCCAGTAGACGACCGCGATGCCATAAATAAAGGGTACCTCACACAATACATGCAGATTGCGAAAGCGCCCGTAGACAGTCTTCGCAATTACGTAGCGGTACTAGAGGAAGAGTTGAAAGCGGTCAAAGAAACTTTACATAAACTAATAGAGGATGCAGCAGGTGGTGAACGAGTTACACAAAGCGGCGCGCAAAAACTTCCCTCGTAGACGTACCATCATTAAAGGCTTCGATGATCTTTGGCAAGCAGATCTAGCCGAATTTATACCTTACGCAAAAGAGAATAAAGGCTACAAATACATATTAGTAGTTATCGATTGTTTTTCAAAATATCTATGGACGCGAGGGTTGAAGACTAAAACGGGTGAGGAGGTGACAAAAGCCGTACAGGCTATTTTCAAATCTACGAGACGCAGACCGAAAAATCTACAGACCGATGCAGGGAAGGAATTCTATAACAAATCATTCGCCAAATTAATGATGCAAGAACGCATTAATCACTATTCCACGTACAGTACGAAAAAGGCCGCACTGGCCGAGAGGGTTATAAGAAGTATAAAAAACCCCTTGTACCGGCAGTTTAGTTTACGCGGAAAATATGTATGGATAGATGCAATCGAATCGATCACGAGCGAGTACAATAATCGTAAACATCGAACAACGGGGATGAAACCGATCGAAGTGAAGGCCGATACAAAGCTGGACGCCTACAACCACATCAAGCTCTTCAACAATAAGAAATGCCGTTTTAATGTCGGCGATGTAGTTCGAATTAGCAAATTTAAATCCATATTTGCGAAGGGCTACACCCCCAATTGGTCCAGTGAGCTGTTCAAAATTATAAAAGTACAAATAACAAATCCGGTCACGTATTTGTTGGAAGACATGAAGGCTAAACCGATTTTAGGTGGATTTTACGAACATGAGTTGCAGAAGGCCAAGTATTCGGACGTATATTTGGTTGAAAAAGTCCTGCGTCGCAAGAAAGACAAAGTGTACGTGAAATGGTTGGGTCTGGACGAGAAATCGTGGATTGATAAAAATAATGTTGTTCTATAAGGTTATGATGTGTCGATTTGAATAAATAAATAACTAAAAACTTAAATATTTACTTTTTATTATTGTAATTCACCATACAACATATTTCCTAGTGTCTCTTTTTCTCGATGTCATCTATTCCACCACCCTCCTTTTTTATCGAGATATTTTTCAATTGTTGTTAGAAGTGATTATTGAAATATGTCGAACAATATCAGATTCCATTTTCCATCATATCTACCCATAACACGGTGCTGCGACAAATTCCAAGAGTGGCAGGAAATTCGTTATCGTATCTTACATAGATAATCGTTTGTCCCAGACACTCACACCCCACACTTCTTGTTAGGGGTTATGCAAAATTGACGAAATGCGATATACAGATACTACGTCAATGATGCACAGAAGTCATGAGATCTCACGGATTAAAGCTCATTTAAAGTTCATCTTCCCAGTACATTAATGAATATTATCATTGTTAAACTGAGGTGAATGGTCTCTGCCGTCTTCTGGGAATCTTCAATGTTGCAGGTGTTTCACGGGTATCATTTGGGACAATGGTTGATATGTGTGTGTGAGAACGTCCTTGATGTTATTTTAGAATCACTCTTTTGCTAACTCCAACAAAAACCTCCACATATATACCTAGGGGTAGACATTTTGCGGCACAAGTGTTAATCTGCACGTTATCGTCATGTCTTCAACCAAACGCGCCAACAAGTTGACTTTAAAAAAAAGTGCAACGAGTAAGAAGCCTTACATAAATGCCTGTGGGGGTGGTGGACGCTCAATCTTAAAGACCGCCTTAGAAAAACCTACAAAATTATCCGATGGTGATGTGATCAACCTCGTCACGGAAGATGAAGAAGGACATCGGGAAAGGTAAGTTGTAAACTTGTATAATAATTTAGTACTCGCTCTCCACCATCCATATAGATACTAATGTTGTAGGTATTATTTTATTTTTTTTATAGAACAATAGCTACCACCACCACCACCACAAATGAACTGGAAGATTTTCTAAAAGAATATGAGGGAAATTTCAATCATGTTTACGCTCCTCCAATTACAACGATTCCTCCACCTCCCATGAGACCACCGGTGATAGATCCCAGACATGGCCAGCAACAACAACAGCAACAACAACAACAGTTAAGGTACAAATTATTGTTCACGAAAAATAAAATTTCTAATGCATATATGTTTTTTACAGCCAGTATCCATCAGTACAAATATTGGAGCACATTATAATTCCTGCGCCGCTACCCCAGGCAAATACTCAAACGCAGCCACCAGAAAATGGTAGCTTTACATCCACAAATCCTCGATGGGGTGGCATGCATCAATTTCCGTAAGTTTACTCATTACTGTACCTCCGTTTATATGAAAAATACTAATTATTCTAATGTTACGTTACAGAAATAATCCAGCTCAACAACAACAACAACCAAATTTACCACTACAGCTACCTGTAAATAACGGCGGCAACAATCACTTTCAGTAAGTTACTTTTATTATACATACAATCTATTTTTAATACTGTGTTTTTCTTATTGTTACAGTGCCCCGTTGCCTAGGGGGGAAAAAGATATGCAATTACTAAGAGAATTTTATGAAAACGTCTCTCCGCCGTCTTCAGCAGCCATCGACCAAGAAGAGGCGCCACCACCACCGCCGCCATCTCATGAATCGCCCAGATGGCGCGAGCCATCCACACCCCAAGAGCTGGCGATGTTATCAATGGGGTGTCTGGAGAAGATGCTGACAACTTTCCAGGCCAGACAAAGAAATTCCCAACTCCAGACGGAGCGTTTAGAACGGGAGTTGGATGCATCACGAGTTCAAGATGAAAACCTGCATCGAGAGATGAAATTTATTATAAGTTACATGGAATTTTTAAAAAATAATTAATTTTTCTTTTCAAATTTAACTTCACATTTGTAATTAATAAGTAAAACATTAATGTAATGTACCTAATTTGTAGAAAATACATGGATTATTTAATGCGATTGTTGATATTAATTAATTTAGTTTATCTGCCACAAACATTCACGGAAATGTAATATTTACGTACCTACCTGAGTTCGAGTGAAAATACTAATCCGAATTAATCATTATCACAAAGAAACACCAAAATTATTTTCCACAACACATCGCGAATCGGTGAATATCACTGTGCAATGAAATGAGTGCATACGCAAGTCGGCATAATGCGAGCTGATAATTTTCTATTTTTACCAAATGCGCGATACCATGCAGAACGTCTATTCACGGTAGGTACAGTGTACTCGTTTTTAAAATTGAGAGTTCATTAAACACCAATCCCCAAATTTTTTTAAAGAGGCTGGTTCTAAAGGATGGATGTCGGGGGAAAATGAATAAGCACCCTTTATACATTCTTTTAATTCGCAAACTTTACATACAAATTGTCTTAATTGGTACACAAGAAATAACCATCGTCGTCGTATTTATGCCATTGCCTCACACACAAAGAAATAATCCTTGCCTTAACTGCCACTGTATGAATCATTACAAAATCAGTTTTTTCATACGGCGCTGACAACCCAGCATTTCAACATCCCACTTTAATTTTCTAATTTTCAGTAACAGTTCGTCAATTCTTTTTTTCCGTTGCTGCTGCTGCTGCTGTGGATGATGATGAACAATGGCTCTTGACATCTCGCCTATTATAGAATTATAAATTATTGAGCAAAGACCCATTACAACAAACACTTATATTAATCTGAACCACACCCATTCTTAAGTCGCCTTGATCACCCGAAAACAATACACCCTTTGTTCTCAAACTCCGCTCGACAGACAAACACCGCATGGCCTTGAAAGTGAGCCAGTATCGGCACGCATTAAGCTTTGAGTGAGCCAAAATCGATATGACCTTAATGGTCTTCTGTACCCACTGCATCCAATGTAAATTTCCATAAGAGCGCCCGCCATAAAAACTATAGTTGTTTTTCAAAGACAATTTTTTTAAGAACTATTTTATAAATTTAGACCTTTATCTACAAAATGTTCGGACTATTTTTTTTTAAGTTTATACCAACTGAATACCGATTGTTTAAAGATTAGATGTTTCGCACCGATTATTGCGCTAATCTGTTTTATTTTTTTACTCTCGATCAAGACGATTTATGGAAAAAATAAACCGACAGTTTTTTAGATAAGTTACTTCTAAACATGACCCCAAAAAATGAAGTCATAATTTTTGTAAATAAAGTCTGTATCTTGGCGGGCGTTAAATCAACAATTTGAGTGTAACAAGTGGCGCCGCTGCACAGTGTCGGTGGGAACTAACTAAGGACCAAGACAGGACTTAACAAAGCAAGAATATCATCTTATCTCTTGCAGCTATAATCATCTATACACTATAATGTAAAAAAAAGTTGCGCTTAGGTAAAGAAGACTCTTAACGGCGCGGCGGTTCGATTTACTTAACGATCTGGGATAGCGGTTGAATTAGCGATTTATACGTTCGTACAAACTCCACTTCTTTAATAAAACGATCCGCTTTGAGACGATTATACTTTACACGCTTAAACTATTCGTCGTTTCAAGGCCATTTCTTTAGTATCCATGATGATGCAATCAAGGGAATAGGTAAACAAACAGGGGGAACAGCCTGTTTATTTTGAAAGCTGTTTATTATAAAAAAATGTCGTCTAGGGCATTTATGCCGGGATCGCCTCGCTTTAGCCTTTTATCTAATTTAGTACCAGGTCCGCAATACTGATAGCCAGGAATATGTAGTTCCACTGGAAGTTTGTTTATAAGATTATTAACCAAGCCACTCCCATCCGTACACTTCCGCTTCCGACTCAACATTGTTGAAGTGTGGCAAGAAGTTGCCTCCATCAAATAAAAAAAAATGCTCAAATAGAGTACGTTTATTGACATATGTGATACATAAAATAAGTAGGTCGATAGTATAATAATTCCATCTTGCAAACTGTATTGTGAGAATTTACGTTAAACTTATAGTTTAACACATCTTCAATATCGCGATAGATGTTGTCATCGTCGCCCTCATCCTCGTCACCACATTTTGGAGCCTTTTTTTTTTTTCGTTGAGATGATCTCGAGAGTGGGATGTGCATTTAAATAAGAGACCCAATTTCTCTCTCGTGAACAACATTTATTATCTCTCTCTCTCTCTCTCTCTCTCTCTCTCTCTCTCATTTACAACTTTTTTACATAAATGTTAAATTAGTAGTCTTCCCCGCCGTTCCAGCGCTTGTTATAAAGACTTCTTCCCTGGACAAGAAGTCCTTGAAGATCTGCAGACAGTTGTCGCTCTTGAAGTACTCATAAAAGCGCAAAGGAAGGATGCACTTAAAGTTCTCAGTATCGATCAGTATTCGATCGCCATACTTGGTATTGATTAGATCGATACCAATCACTTTATACTTTTCACCAACCTTCATATCCTTGACGTTCTTGAAAGGTTTGCAGTAGGTGCTACTGTTGAGTCGATTAAGATCCATTTTAACTGATTAGTCAACACCATTCGACTGATTCCAGGCACCGTTTTCTACCACCAGTATATTGCTGGCTGATGACCTTGAAATCTAGAGTGCGATAAACCATTACATTGCTGTATGGTGGCCTTGAAATCCAGTGCGATATATACCATTATATTGCGGTCTGATGTTGACCATGAAATCTAGTGCGATAAACCGATGATCGATGATTTTCTGCTAAGACGAGAGACAATATCTTACAAAATTGCTCTATTTTCCTACTAAAGCGAAATCTATCCAAGGCCCTTTTCGCGCTTCATTATATGCACATGACCACGCGATCAGCACATACACGCGATTGTTACTATCGTCAAATGTCACTTTCTTCATCACCATATTATGTATTCACCCAACTGAGCCACGTTTAGTCCGTTCATAAGGCAATAAACGGATATTTTATAATTTAAAAAGCGTCTACATATTTCAATCCCCAACTCATACCTTTGGGCAATGTTTTGACACTGTTCCCTAAAAGTCTCAGGTCCATACACCGCCTCATGCTCAGCATCAGATAGTAATACCAATAAGGTTTGATGAAGGCATTCAACAGCCGTTCGCCACATATTCACCACAAATCGCCAGTAGGCCTCCCAACATCAATTTTTCCATACTGCGCCGACAACCCAAAATTTCCACATCCCACTTTAATTTTCTAATTTTCTTTACCAGCTTGTCAATTCTTTTTTTCCGTTTCTGCCGCTGCTGCTGCTGCTGATGATGATGATGAACAATTACTCTTGACATCTCCTCTATTATTATTATTATTATTATTATTATGGACAAATGACTATTCCAATAAGCACCTTATATTACACCCCCCACTCTCCAAGTCGCAAACCATCCCTCGATAGCCTAAGAATTGCACCACGTTTGACCTTGACCACAAACAATACACCCTTTGTTCTCTCGACCCCCGGCGCGCTCTCGGCCTTTGAGATACGAAGCCGGCAAGAAGAATAATTACGTTTTACCCTCAATCTTGAGACGGCAGCCGAAAAATTACGCAACCCATTTTTTACACTCTCAGCGCTGAACTGGCACCGCCAGTGGCACCCCATCCCCCAGAAGAACACAAACATTAAACCCCCCTTTGTTCTCAGCGTCCGACCTTGAAATCCAATCGCCTTCAGGAAAAACAATTTGATCACACACAATACCCCCCCCTTAACACTCTCAGCAATCGACCTTGAAATCCAAAAACCTTGAAACGACCACGCAACACCACACCAATTTCACCTTGAACACCAACACTTTATTCATATATTCTTCAATGCTAAGTGGCCCAGGATCGATACGACCTTGAAAGTGAGCCAGGATCACCACGCATTCAGCTTCGACCCAAAATCGATATGACCTTCAAGTGAGCCAGCATCGGCACGCATTCTTTCAGACGGACACACCCCCACATGACCTTGAACACCAATGCATCGATACGACCTTGAAAGTGAGCCAGGATCGCCACGCATTCAGCTTCGACCCAAAATCGATTTGACCTTCAAGTGAGCCAGCATCGGCACGCATTCTTTCAGACAGACACATCCCCACACATGACCTTGAAGCCTCCGAAGAACACAAACAATACACCCCTTTGTTTTCACCAATCGACCTTGAAATCCAATGACCTCAGCCATCACCCCCTCTTACCAACGGCCTTGAACCGACACCACCACCCCCCTCCAAAGAACACAAACAATACACCCCTTTCTTCTCAACACTCGACCTTGAAATCCCCCCCCCCCCCCACTTACGCAATACCACTTTGACCTTCAACACCACTTTGACCTTGAAACGCTAACACTTCAATCATATGGCACTTTTCAATGTAAAGTGAGCCAGGATCGGCCTTACTATACTAGCTTATTGGAATTTTAGGAATTGGTCAAGCCATCGGTTCAGGGTCAGTATTGGGATACTGAGCGGTGGCAGAATCCAGCTGGACCCTGGGATAAGTTGATGATACTATTACTTCAGTTGTACCACCATCATCAAATAACTAAAAATACTAGGGGTAAATATATTTCTTTTTGCTTTTATATAAGAAATACGACTGCGCACAATATATTTCATTTTATTTCAAATTTTTTAGATTTAATGTCAACATTTTGAAAAAAAGTCTCAACATAATAACCTTAATGAAGCGCAGTTTTTGGCAGCATACTTAGGGGAGAGGAGGGTACAGTTGCACTCAAATTATAAAATGCTCAATTAAATATATAAAAGAAATGCATTTCTCATACAAGGTTGATTTTGGGCATGCTACAATATTTCAGAAGTACCACGAACTATTTACATTAATATAAATTAACTCAAAAATTAGTTATAATTATAAATTCAAAATGTTGCATTTGTGTCACTGTTCACCCTAAGGAGGGTACACTGGCACAGTAATTTATACTACTTTGTTTCACACATGTATTAAACGAAAAATAAAAATTAATGCCAATCGAAACAATTACAGTGAAAAATGGAAAAAACCAATAACATCTTCAGATGTTACGTACGTCTGTCCGTCCGGTTTTCCGAAGCCTAGATACTTCTACGGTTTTTAAGATATTTAGTACCTTTTTGTATTCGGTAGCTTATAAACTATTGCTCAAAATTGATGTTTATTTATCCGTACATCTATCCGTCCGTTTTTCCGAAATCTAAATACTCCTACAGTTTGCAAGATACTTGGTTCGTCTTTGTATTGGGTAGCTTATAGCTATTACTAATGCACCAATTCTCCACAATAATTTTTATGTCTGTACGTCTCTTTTTCCGAGGCCTTAACTACGGATAAATTCGGATTGAAGTTGCAACGTTTTATTTGCTACACAATCATTTAATATCTTCCACACAGGTTACATATAGGTTACAAAGTTTTAGTTTTTTACCGTTTCGAAGTTTAAGATGGACTGCCTTTATCATAATCACCTTACCTTTAGTTTGAATTAATGGAAAGTAGTTCCAATAAAGTAATTATAGTAATTTGCAAAATGGTATAGTGTGATTAGATAGGACAGTCCCAAGGATGCTATATATTATAAGGATTGCTTGATCCCTATACTTGTAATGTTGCCCGCGTTTAAGTCATATGTGACGTCACCAACGGACCTGGCTGTCGGAATTGACAGTTTAATTTGCCAAGTTGTCAATGTTTTTGCATTAACGTTATAACTAGGGAAGGGGGTTTTAGGCAAGTGAAAATGAAAAAAAAAGTAGGGAAAAAGGCAAAAAAAAACCACTAAAGTAGGCAAGAGAGATTACATTATAGGCATAGTGGTCTAAAGTATAGGCATATTTAAACAAAATTAGGAATTGGGTGGGGGGGCTACGTTCACTTGTCCCCCCCAAATGTTTTTTCGGATTTCTAAAAAACGATAATGGCGCAAGAGTTATTATCGGTGGCGCATATGAGCGCATAACGAGCGCAATCATTTCAAAATAATACACTATCATTCACAAATCTTGCTACTGTGCAATGATTTGTCCTTTCCAAAACCTTACAAGACAGTAAGTGCGGAGTGGTTAACATATCTTCTGAGAGCTTTCCTACTATTAAATTTGCAACATACCGTCCCATTGAATCGGTAGTTTCATCCACACAAATCCAAACATTATAGTGGCCTATATCTGCTCGAATATCACTTATTGCCTTAAAAAGATAGATAAAATAAATTACAATTGTAATTAAAAAATTATATTGTACCTGATTGTAACACTTTGGTAAATAAAGTTTACTTAGCGTTGTGCGATCGGGAATGTTAGTTGAGCTGCATTTTTCTAGGAACTGTCGAAATTGCGGATTATCTAACTTATACCAAGGTATATTTGCAGCAATTAGTGCTGTACATAAATCCATATAGAAGGTTGCTTTCACATTTCCATTGCTTGTAGTTGATTCAGGTAACTGTGATTGCTTAGAAACTCTCTTCGATAGCAACCTTTTATGTGTATTGGTCTTCTCATGTTGTATGTAGGATGTGAAACTTCTTCTTACAGGAAAACTTGAAACATAGGATAATAGTGGAGAATACTACCGCTATATATAAAAGTACTTACAACTTTATTACAAAGTCTGTAAAATAATTTGTCACCTTCATGATATTTAAAATGGGGATTGTCTTTAATCCAGTTATTTATCGACACTTCTCTGTTTTAAGGCATTATAATTTTATTTAATATTGAAATCGCTCACTTCAGTCACTTCTCACTTCTAAGTATTGTAAATAATGTTGAGGTTAAGTAAAGATTTATACCTGTGTTGCCGATTTGACTAAAGTATACAAGGTGTTTCGAAATTGTGCAATTCATAGATTCCAACAACAGAGAAAATAGGTCAACATGCCTCAGACATAGGCACATTCCCTTTACAAATTCTAAAATAGGTATCAATTTGCGAAAAAAAGGCACTTTAGGCAAAATATAGTGCCCTTTATAATAAATTATACGTTAAAATTTGTATTTTAATTTCACGGCACTATGGGGCTTTGAATATTCATAATAGGCCAATGGGCCTAAAATCCCATCTCTAGTTATAACTGTGTGTATAAGTGTTCGCTATATTGCAACAAAAATGCTTGGACGCCGACGTGCAGTATTGGACTGTAATAACAATTTAATTAACGTCGAGAAATCGTTATTTTAAGATGCAAAAGTTTAAATAAACTGATTTAGCTGCAATAAAAAAAATAAAGCTATTTTCTCATCGGGAGGAATGGATTTCCGCATAACCATATCAGACAAGATCGTTATTCCTCCTTCCTTCCCTTAACACGTGGAGTACCACAAGGATCGATCCTTGGGCCTCTTCTTTTCACTACATATCTATTTGATTTTGGTTACAATCTTCAATTTTTTAATTTCCATAGTTACGCTGACGATACTCAACTATACGGGTCTTTTACCCCACTATGCGCACCAGATTTACTACCATTAATTAATTCGGACTTAAAGAGTTTATCGGAATGGTCTAAGAACAACTCCCTTGTTCTGAATCCCCTTAAATCTATTGGTATGTTGATTGGTACAAAAAGCTCTTTGGCGAAGGCGGATCTTCCTGCTGATTTAGTCTTACTTGATAATGCGCCCCTTATGTTTAAAAGTTCACACAAAAGTCTTGGTGTAATAATTGATGAAACTCGTTCCTTTTCTCCTCACGTCAGTATGCTGCTTCAAAGTAGCTATGCGAAACTGCGTTCTTTGTACAGACTTAGAAATGGTCTTTTGCAGTCTGTCAAGATGACACTGGTAGAGTCTTCTGTCAAGTTTTAATTATGCTGATTCTGTCTATGGGCCTCTCCTTACTAGTACTGAAGTTAGTAGAATTCAAAGAGTGCAGAACTGTTGTATAAGGTATGTATCAAGCATTAGAAAATATGATCATGTTTCACGGTTTTACAACCAACATAATATTATGCGTATGCGAGAAAGGAGAGAACTTCACTATACTTGTCTAAATCACAGAACTATAAAATCGTGGAGATCTTCATGATCGTAGATTAAGAAATATTATGGACATCAAAATACCTGCGCACAGTACCACACGTTACGAAGCTTCCTTTAGTTACCTGTGTGCCTATTTGTACAACAAGGTTCCTCATGTTTATCGGTCGCTACCTCTGCAACCATTTAAAAGGAAAATTAAAAATCTTTTGAAGAGATTCACTCTTAGTTGGCTAAACGGTGCTTCTCGGTTAATACAAATGTTAATGTTTTTCTCCATAACACGAATTTTTTTTGTATTATTTAGTACAACCAATCTGTATTTTTCAGTTTAATGTTTTTTTTTGTGTCATTTATTTCGTGCTGGTTAGGAAAAACAGCATTATGCTGATCCTCGCCAGAATAATAAAGATTATTATTATTATTATCTTTTTTTCGAAGAAAATGTTCACTCTGCAGCGTTTCAAAAACGCATCGTGAGGAGCTCTTAGAATCTTACGTAATATAAAATACAAATGAAAGTGGTGCACAAATCGAAAAGTCAAAGCATGCGGTGCGCCTGGGTCCGCCAGTGACGTCACTACACGCGGCGAAAAAATTCAGTGATCGAGCAATCCTGTATTACATACCATCCTTGGGACAGTCCTCTATCCTACTTTCTAGTTTAATTCGAAAAAATGCTGAAAGTCTTATCTTAGCTGAAACAGCTTCGTAACAATATACACCACTAGTTATCAAGGAAATTAAATATTAAGATAGATATCAAAGCGATTAAATGTGAAATTTTCTAGGGAAATCTAGTGCATTAAATGCACTTTCTCATACTCAACTATGCAGGTGCGAAAGGT